GAGAGCGAGAGCGAGAGCGAGAGCGAGAGCGAGAGCGAGAGCGAGAGCGAGAGCGAGAGCGAGAGCGAGAGCGAGAGCGAGAGCGAGAGCGAGAGCGAGAGCGAGAGCGAGAGCGAGAGCGAGAGCGAGAGCGAGAGCGAGAGCGAGAGCGAGAGCGAGAGCGAGAGCGAGAGCGAGAGCGAGAGCGAGAGCGAGAGCGAGAGCGAGAGCGAGAGCGAGAGCGAGAGCGAGAGCGAGAGCGAGAGCGAGAGCGAGAGCGAGAGCGAGAGCGAGAGCGAGAGCGAGAGCGAGAGCGAGAGCGAGAGCGAGAGCGAGAGCGAGAGCGAGAGCGAGAGCGAGAGCGAGAGCGAGAGCGAGAGCGAGAGCGAGAGCGAGAGCGAGAGCGAGAGCGAGAGCGAGAGCGAGAGCGAGAGCGAGAGCGAGAGCGAGAGCGAGAGCGAGAGCGAGAGCGAGAGCGAGAGCGAGAGCGAGAGCGAGAGCGAGAGCGAGAGCGAGAGCGAGAGCGAGAGCGAGAGCGAGAGCGAGAGCGAGAGCGAGAGCGAGAGCGAGAGCGAGAGCGAGAGCGAGAGCGAGAGCGAGAGCGAGAGCGAGAGCGAGAGCGAGAGCGAGAGCGAGAGCGAGAGCGAGAGCGAGAGCGAGAGCGAGAGCGAGAGCGAGAGCGAGAGCGAGAGCGAGAGCGAGAGCGAGAGCGAGAGCGAGAGCGAGAGCGAGAGCGAGAGCGAGAGCGAGAGCGAGAGCGAGAGCGAGAGCGAGAGCGAGAGCGAGAGCGAGAGCGAGAGCGAGAGCGAGAGCGAGAGCGAGAGCGAGAGCGAGAGCGAGAGCGAGAGCGAGAGCGAGAGCGAGAGCGAGAGCGAGAGCGAGAGCGAGAGCGAGAGCGAGAGCGAGAGCGAGAGCGAGAGCGAGAGCGAGAGCGAGAGCGAGAGCGAGAGCGAGAGCGAGAGCGAGAGCGAGAGCGAGAGCGAGAGCGAGAGCGAGAGCGAGAGCGAGAGCGAGAGCGAGAGCGAGAGCGAGAGCGAGAGCGAGAGCGAGAGCGAGAGCGAGAGCGAGAGCGAGAGCGAGAGCGAGAGCGAGAGCGAGAGCGAGAGCGAGAGCGAGAGCGAGAGCGAGAGCGAGAGCGAGAGCGAGAGCGAGAGCGAGAGCGAGAGCGAGAGCGAGAGCGAGAGCGAGAGCGAGAGCGAGAGCGAGAGCGAGAGCGAGAGCGAGAGCGAGAGCGAGAGCGAGAGCGAGAGCGAGAGCGAGAGCGAGAGCGAGAGCGAGAGCGAGAGCGAGAGCGAGAGCGAGAGCGAGAGCGAGAGCGAGAGCGAGAGCGAGAGCGAGAGCGAGAGCGAGAGCGAGAGCGAGAGCGAGAGCGAGAGCGAGAGCGAGAGCGAGAGCGAGAGCGAGAGCGAGAGCGAGAGCGAGAGCGAGAGCGAGAGCGAGAGCGAGAGCGAGAGCGAGAGCGAGAGCGAGAGCGAGAGCGAGAGCGAGAGCGAGAGCGAGAGCGAGAGCGAGAGCGAGAGCGAGAGCGAGAGAGAGAGAGAGAGAGAGAGAGAGAGAGAGAGAGGAATAAAGAGAAGCTCGGCGACAAAGCAGACAGATCGATAACGGCGGAGGTCTTCACGGGCCGTCCCGGTTCGCCGCGAAACAAAAGGAATCGACAGGTTTTTCCTTTCGCCACGCCTAATTTAAGCCCGCGAAATAATCCATTTTGCGCGACCGTGACTGATTGTTTCACCCGTTCCCGCCGCGCGTTTTACATCGATTCTCCTCTTCTCGGCTCTCGTCCTCCTGGCCCTTTTTTCTCTCTCCACTTCTCCCGGCCCCCTCCTCCTCCACCTCCTCATCCTCCTCCTCCTCGCCGCTCGCCGCCGCTCCCCCCTCCGCGCTCTCCGCACCGCCACCGCGCCGCCCCGTCCCGCCGCCCGCCGCGTCCCACGCCCCCACCCGTTTACTCTCGTCCCCGCAGGCGTTTCATTAGCCGCGACGAGAACATTTGTTTTTGTCGATGTTTCGCGGCAGCTTGCCGCTTTTTATACCTCTTCCTCTTCTTCCCGTTGCCTCTTTTCGCTACTTTTCACGCATTCACCCTGGCCCACGCGGCGGCGGACGGACGGAGGAGCGGGGAGGGGAAGCCGGGGGGACGGGAGAGAGAGAGAGAGAGAGAGAGAGAGAGAGAGAGAGAGAGAGAGCAAAAAAAAGAAGGCAACGACGCCGAGGTAGTAGAGGCTTTGCATACTTATGCAATTAACTAGTCGAGCCCGACACTTGTTTGTCGTCGTTTCGCTCGCGCGGCACTCCGTCGCGTCGTTCGCGGAGATTACGCAATCGGCCAGCCGGCTCTCTCCCTACAAAGCAAAGTCTCCCGTGTCGCGCCATCCATTTTCGCGCGACGCGTGCACGCGATTCGCCGTGCCGGCCGATCGACGCGCCGGTCTAACGTTAGACCGACCAATGGAACGCTCGCGATCGCGTCTTTCTCTCCGGCGTACTACCGGTCGGTACAACGGGAATAAATCGCGCAAGGTCGACGGACAAAACGATCTCGTCCGCGAAAGCATTAGCTTACCGCGCTGATGTCTCTCACCTCCTGGTCAGCGCCGGCCGAACCGCCGTTTTTCTTCATGTATCCACGTGATATTCCCGTTCGTCGCGTAGTCACAGTAAACATTTTTTTTTCCTCCCTACCCCACGCCCCGTTCGGTTCGGGAGAAGCGGACCGGCGGCGCGCACAATCACACATTCATTATCCGTGAACTATATGTATTTCCAACGGGACAGAGTCTTCCTCCCGAGTTAGCACAAGCATCCGAAAATATCGCGGGCGCCTCGTTTTGCGTTTGCGTTGCCACTGGTCACGATGATCCCGGCGGTATCGAAAATACGTTCTCGATCGTCGCGGCGCCGTTGGGATTCCGCCGTCTTTGCCCCGGCGATATTTCCCCCGATTCCGTTCGCCCCGCGGCTCCCCGTGCGCGCCGCCCGCGAACGCCGGAAAATGGATACTCTGGCCGGCGAGATGGGTCCTTAACGCCGGCATTTTACGACGTCCTTCGGGCGAAACGGCCATGCGTGGCCACCGGGGCGTAAGATCCTCGTCACCTTTTCCGCGTTTTACGTCGCGAAACCGCACATTTTTTTTTTCCAGTACCATCGCAGCGTGTCGTCACCGTGAGAACTCCCACTTGATGAAAATCACCGCGGACGCTCCTTCGATGGCGAAAGAAAGAAGAAGAAGCGACTCGCGACTCTCTCCCGATGCTCCGTCGTTCGGATTCCATCGTGCCCGATTTCGCGGCCGGCCGGCCGGCGGATCGATGGAATCATCGGATTCTCGGGGCCGAGGATCGGCGACGTAACGGCGGATGGAGCGCGTCGCGGAGCCCGTCGACGCGGAACGGACGGATTCGCGAGAACTGCACACCCCACCGGAGAGAGAGCACACGCAAGCCTCGCCGGCGCCGGCACCGTCCACCGCGAAGGGTCTTCCCACGTCCGATCAGCGCGGCACTTTATCACTTATCCGACACCGTCCCTCGTGCGGCGCGTCAACGAACTCCCTCTCCTCCAGCGGCGGTGCTCCGGCAGGCGCAGCCGGACTCGCGAGAGGACATCCTCGCGTTCTCCACCGCCCCGCGGGTGTAAGGAAAAAAGGGCCGCCGCCGTTGTCGTCGTCGGGAACGCCTCGGCTCGATCCGGTCGCCACCTCGTGGCCCGATCCACGGGCCCGCCGCGGGCCCGCGGATCAAAAGTTTGACGGGTTGCGACGCGACTGGTCGACTGATAAATCCGAATTTAGCGTGGCGGACTCACTGTACACGCCGGGCTCTCGCCGGCTCCGTCAAAGGCATGATTGGTCTGCGTGTCGGCGGCCCCCACCACCCCCTCCTCCGCCCCCCAGGGGCGGACAGCGAAGGCAGAGCGCCGTCGCCGTCTTTCGGGGCGACGGCCGCGCCACCGCGCGGCACCGACGCCGACGCCCGCCGCCGATCGATAGTCACCGACCGTCGACGCCGTCGACGCCGAGCACGACGCGGCGTGGCGCGGCCGGCCGATTCTCGTAAGCCGTCTCCTCGTCTCCTCGCGCCGCCTCGCGTACCATCGCTCTCCGTCGCTTTTCGTCGCCTCGCGCCGCGACGCCGGTACGCTCCCGTGTTTCGCCGCGCGTCGCACAACCGCCGCCCGCCGATCGCTCCACCGACCACGCCACGCCGAAACGAAACGAATTTTGTCCGTTCGTTCGATCTCTGCACACGGTTTTTTGCACGCGGCGACGATCTTGTACGGCATCGCGGCCGATGGATCGTCCCCCGCCGCCGTGGAACGAGATGCGCTTCTTCGCTCCCGGCCCCGCCGCTCTTCTCTCCCCTCTTCCCGTCTCTTCGTCGCGCGCTCTCCTGGCGTTCGGCCGACTCCTTAGACCACGCACGCCTATATAGACACGCCGTCGGATCATTTCGCCGAACCGTCCACGCGACGTCACAGCGCGCCCGATGTATAAACTACGCTAGTATGATATATCATCTGCAATTTCGACAGAGCGACACGCCGATATTCCTAACCTGTTTTCTGAACGATACTCGAAACCGTAATGAGCGAAGTCGCTGAGCTGCTTCCAAGAGACACTGTCGAATATATTTGTTCGTTTAGGCACGCGCTGTTATAAAAATTGCAAAAAATAAGGTTAGTTTAAGTGGGTTAGTCGCTTTTAGAACTCGCTAAGTTCGTCGTTAACTTTCAGGAAACAAATCGAATGGATTCAACACGGAACATGGATATTTTCGGAACGATAATTTCCGCAGAATGTATTTCAAGTTCAATCGAGACGTCGACGACTGACTATTCTAACCTCATTCGCGCTACGATTTCTTTCACAGTTTCATCGATCGGCGCTTCCTCGTCCTTAATAATATTCCGGATACGACGGGACTATTTTTATTCCTCGGACCTCTGCGTTCACTTTCGTTCCTAGACTTCGATTACCGGAAAATCGAATTTCGTTTCCGAGTGAAAGAAACGTGATCGTGTAATACGAACCGCGCACGATTTTTGCGCGGCATCCTTGCGCACGGTCCATGCTAATCTTCTCTGTGTCGTTTCGATTTCGGCAGCATGTGCTGCCGAAGCAGGTGCAATTGAATAACGTGATTCGATTTTCTGCGTTATTATCGCGCTCACATATGCGCTGAACGCTTCGAGCATCGTTCGGCGATTTCGTACGATCATCTTTCACCGCGCGTGACGTCACAGTGAACAGAGTTACCTTTGATTCACCGCACTCCTCGGTTTTCTATGCACGCGCTATACAGGGTGTCCCGAAAATGTCTCGCAAACCGGAAATGAGAAGTTCCTGGGATCGTTTGAAGTAACTTTTTCCTTAGCGAGAATGCAACCGGTGGCTTCGTTTACGAATTATTAACGTAAAACACCGACCAATGAGAGGCGAGCTCGCCTAGCGCTTGACGACCGAGTCAATGAGCACGCGAAGCCCAGTTCCGCTCATTGGCTCGGCCGCCTTGCGCCAGCATATCTCGTTTCTCATTGGTCACTCTTTTTCGTTAATAACATGCAAACAAAGCCGTGGATTGCATTTTCGCCAAGAACAAATTTACTTCAAATTACCTCAGAAACCTCCCATTCTCGGATTGCGAGACATTTTTGGTACACACTGTACACATGCGTGCCGCGTCTAGTAATAGACATACAACTTGCTGTATTCCATGCCGAGTCATTTAAAAGGAAAGGTGATTAGGAGATGTTCTACTATTTCGTGAAAATTGACCTAGCCACCCCGTCTCGCAAGGATCGATAAAATCGTATTAATATATTAATATAATATAATAATATAATATAATATAATACTTATTTATAATATATATTATAAGTATTATATAAGTATTATATATAATATACATAATTTAATACTTATTTATATTATATATATTATTATATTATTATATATATATATAATAATATTATAATATTATATTATCTTAATATAATATAATATATATTATAAATAAGTAAAGATAAGTAAATGGAACTACATTTGGAACTCTACGAAGCAAATTTAACAATAAAAATATAAATTAAACAATAAATTTAATAATAAAAAGTAGGCGAAAAAGTACAATCTGAGAAGAGGAGGTACGATGATTGTTCTAACCTCGTGGCTCTCGTTTTTACGGTCGTCGATTTTCAACAACTATCAAAACGAACAATCGTGTCTCCGTTTCTCAAACTGTCCAGTATTTGTGTACAAGCTGAGGGACAATTAGAGGAGAATTTTCTGTACCTGGTATAACCATGAAAAATCAAGTTACCATTCCTAGTATCAACAAAGTGTGGACAATAATGAATTCAATGCAGATTTTAACACAAAATTTCGTGATAATAATCTTTCATTGTTTTCGCGAACCGAAAGTTATTATCGGTAAAGGAAACATTGAATGCCATTTTTCTTCGAACTTCATTTTATTCGGAAGTCCCTTGATATCGAATTAGAGCAGCGATACGATCCCGAGGTGTGCGAGACTAATGCCCGAGAGACGAACGGTTCCTCGATGCGCGCCGGATGCGCGCTCGCTCTCGTCGCCTACGAAATTACGATATCGCAGCCCGTGGTGTCCCCGGTAAGTGCAAACAAGTCGCGCGGCCTGTTCTCTCCGGCTGGATCGATATTTATACTTTTACGACCACGCCTATGATAGTCGGTAACGGGGTCTAACGCGGCGGCGGCTGCTTCGCGGAAACGCTGCGGCCGTTTCCGTCGAAGTTCGCGGCGAGGCCGGGGGTGCGTTTTCCGCGGCAAGGGTGCACCTTCTCCGCGCGCGGGCGGCCGCCGCAACCCGCGCCGACGCCAATGGAGTACGCACGCTTTCTTTCGCGTAATCGCCGGTCATTCCGCGTGCGCGAAATCTCGAATTTAACCGGTCAGCTGTGGTCGACGAGTATACTCGTCACGCAGCAACGGCGGTATCTTGACGAGTATACTCGTCGCGCGTACAAAATAGCGTCCATCGGCTATTTAAATTGCAATTTAATTGTAAATGATGTAAATTCTATTTATTTATTAATTTATTTGTTTAATTGTAATTTTGGTGAAAATGAAAAAGTATTCTCAAATTTTAAGATGTTTAGAATACTTTAAAACGGAATAAGAGAAACGAATAAAAGATACCTGTGTGCACTGACTGAAACAGCTTATCGGTTCGCATAATGAATTTATTTATTATTATTTATTATGTAAATTATGATTCATAATTTACTTATTATTATGCGATTTTTATTACGCGATGGTAACATTTTTTAAATGTAAAAGCAAGAGTCAAAAGGCAACTAGTTAATTATGCACATGTAGTATATGTTAATATTAAGCGAATTAGTGAATGTTAGTAATAAAATTGTTAACTAAACAGGGTGTATCAAAAGTGTATCGCAAAACCGGAAATGGGGGGTTCCTGAGGTGATTTGAAGTAACTTTTTCCTTTACAAAAATTTTCTCCAAGGCATCGTTTATGAATTATTAACGAAAGACGCTTGACCAATGAGAGATCGCGTACGGCTGATGCCCCGCCCTCGCGACCGCTGCGTCAGACGGTCGGCGCGACGCGGCATTCGCCGCGAGCCGCACTCGCTCTCCGATTGGTCACCGTTTTTCGTCAATAACTCGTAAACGAAGCCGCGGATTGAATTTTCGCTAAGGAAAAAGTTGTTTCAAATGACCTCAGGAACTCCCATTTCCAGATTGCGAAACATTTTCGGGATACCCTGTATAGGCGTGCGCTCTGAAAAGGAGGCGTCGTAGTTAACTGGTTAAATCTTGACAAAATAATAAAATAATAATTCTACTCGATCCAAATAAGCGAACTGATCCGAATATCAGAGTCGACAAAACCTTTGTATGGATCTTTGGCGCGAATAAAAAATTGTTCGCGTTAATTGCCGGTCCTAGGAGACAATATTATTATTATATTTCGTCTTCGACGAGATGAAAAGGAGGACAATTAAAGAGAATTAATTGTATTAGAATCGAAAATCGAGTAGATATTCAGATCGCGTCAAAAACCGAGACTTCGATTCGCTCGAAGTCGCGATTGCCTGAAAATTCGAGCATCGGAACAGCCCTACAAGGCATAGGTATCGCGTGTAACGCGCACCGGATGGAGAGAGTCGAAGAAGGGCCGCTGGAAGAGAGCGCGCGAGAGAGAGAGAGCGAGCGAGAGAGAGAAAGAGAGCGCCGGAGAGCGTGCGCGCGAGAGAGAAAAAGAGCGCCAGAGAGCGCGCGCGAGGGAGAGGGAGAGGCCGTGAGAGGAACTCGAGAACGAGAAATAGAGAGAGAGAGAGAGAAAGAGAGAGAGAGAGAGAGAGAGAGGGAGGGAGCAAGAGAGAGTGAGAGAGAGAGAGAGAGAGGGAGGGAGCAAGAGAGAGTGAGAGAGAGAGAGAACTAGAGAGGAGGGGACAGGAAGAGAGCGTAGGAGAGTTGGGAAAAAAACGGAGGAAGCGGACCGTGCGGGAGTAGGAGAGGAAAAAGGAAGGCCGGGGTGGGGGGAGGAAGCGAGCGAACGAGTACGCACGCCACGGGCAGGAGGAAAAACAGATATAGAACAGCGCGAGACGGGAAAAAGACGAGCGACTCGAAAGAACGGGTTAGGGGAATAAGGAGAGGGACCGGCAGATAAGAAAAGTCATCACGGTCAGTGCGCGCGCCGAGTCGGGCTCGGGCCACGCCACGCAAAGAGCCTTTATGCCAGGGCGAGCGGCGCACAGTGGTCGATTTGACCAGAAAAGGTGGCTAAATTCGAACATCGAAAAGTTTGCACGATCCAAAAAATTGTCGGTTCCCTACATAGTAAAATGTATGGGGAACAATGCATCGACTTTTTTTCCCTTTTTTAGACAACTCCGACAGCAGTGACACGTGCCTTAAAAGTTTAAAGATCATCCGAATCTGCTTTCGTTCCGAGCCACTCGCGAAAGCACCTTTCGTTCGTCGTCGATTTTTCAATGTTTTGAGAAAATTCTACGGATCGTTGCTCGTGGGAGCTTTCAAGACAGGTCTAAACTATTGCCTCGCGCAGGCGTTGCCTCTTTGACGTGTACGTTCGCGTAGTTATCGAACTTCGAAAACAGAGAATAATCTACTCGTGTCCTGCGCGATTTTCGAACTTCGTCGACGATTTTGTCGTACGGCCGCGGTCGTCCGAGCACTTTTATCGGTGTCGTTGTGTTCGGGGAAGATTCGCGATTGCAACGGCGTTAATATTTTTCCCGGATTCGTTCGGATAACGGTGTTACAGCCGATCGAAGTTGAAACGTCGCAGCATTTCGCGCGCGAGCCTGCGAAATTCTTTCAAATTAACGTACTTTCTCGCACCCCGGTTTTACGCTTTAGACACCGATTGCAGTGAAGATGATACAGAGAATCGAAAAGTAGGAAGTATAAGCTTTAATATGGTCTCCCGTTCGTTCGATTCGGATGGATATTAACAAAGTTACGGGAGTTTAAAGGTTAAGCTGCCTCTGAGACAGTCGTGTCCGCCTATTCGGGTCGAACGGGCCATCGCGCGCCGCACGGTGGTCCGGCGAAGGGCGACTCGTGGCCAAAATTTATTTTAGCGTTGTTTCAAGGTCCACCGTTACAGTATAGCAGGTCGTTGAATTCGTCTCGACGCCAGCTAGAATATTATCCGGTCGAAACGATGTATTAACGCTTAAAAAATCGAGACGACCAGCATTTTTTATGAAAAGAAGACTTGCTTCGGCAAGTTCTTGTACTCTAATTTGTAGAAAAACGAACACCGACGAACTTTTGTTACGAACATTTTTTCGCAACATAGTCGGAAATGTCCGAAAAATCGTGCTTCGTTTGAAATTCTCATCGGCTGCTCCTCGCGACGTTTTATCTCGTTACAGAACCGTCCGAGCGAACTGGTATCGTAAATTTCGAAGCTCCGGGGGGTTGTAAACCCGTCCGAGAAAACAATCGTTTGAAAGTCGCGAAAGTTGCGAAGTTGATTTTTGGCCGTGGATCACTGCTCCGCCAGACCGCCGTGCGCCGCGCCGGAGCAGAGCCGCGCCAGCCACGCCGTCATTCATTGATTGCATCGTGGCGTGCGGTCTGCCGTGGC